CGCAACCTCAACTAGGTGAGTAGGTGAGTACCCAGGATGTGACCCACACCAGCCCACTAACACCCAGGATGTGACCCACACCATCCCACTAACACCCAGGTACCATTTTGAACTGATGGGTGAACAGGGACAGCAGGTGTCTTATGGAAACACGTCCCTAATCTTTTCCAGCGGTACCGGAGGACATTCGAACCCCGGACAGTGTGTGAGCTGAGTGCGTTAGCGATCGAGCTACGGGACACCTAAAGATTTTTAACCCGGAGGGTTAGCCACCCAGGATAACCTGGAATGGAAAAGGTTAGCGCCCCAGGATAACCCAGGATTGAAAAGGTTAGCCTCCCAGAATAGCCAGGGAAAGGAAAGGTTAGCTACCCAGGATAACCCAAGAAAGTCAGTGCATCATTGAGGACTGTCTGTCTTAATTCCTGGCTAAAGCCTGATAGTACAGATGTCTATGCCATTCCTGGTTACACAGCCATACACAACTGTAGGCCAGACCAACAAGGGGGTGGCACAGCCATATACTACTCAGACCAACTAGAATGTATCACTAATACTTGCACAAGGGATGAACATGGGGAATATATAATAGCCAAATTCAAATCCAAATACCTACAAAAACCTCTCACAGTGATAAACATCTACAGAGTTCCACAGTCAAACATTAGCCAATTTAGTCAAAACCTAGGAAGTATGATAACTGATGCACGCATGAACAAGATCACTTACTACTCTCAGGTGACTTCAATATAAATCTCCTACAAGACCAGGACCACACGTTACTGAATTCACAAAACAATGAGTAACTGCATGTTGCTACCAACAGTAACAAAACCTACAAGAGTTACAGAGACTAGTGTTTCCCTACTTGACCACATCTGGACCAACACCATATCCCTTTAAAATCAGGCATAATTACAGATAATACCACAGACCACTACCCTACTTTCCTCATAACAACTCTTGGTAAACTACCCCAAGACACTACTAAAGTCACCTTCAGACTTCACAATGAGGCAGCCATTAATAACTTCACAACAGCAGTAGCAAACATTGACTGGCACACTGAGCTAGAAATCTATACAGATTTGACGAATGTATTAATAATTTTCTAAAAAAGCCCAATACCTCTATAAACAAGCACTGCCCTAAAAAAACTAAACAGATGACATCTAAGAGACTGATACAGTCCCTGGCTAAACCCAGCATTCTCAAATCCATAAATACAAAACACCAATATGAAAAACAGTACAGAATGGGTCACATAACCAGAGACCAAACAAAACGTTACTCGTCAATCCTAACCAGCCTGATAAGAAGGGCAAAAAAATTGTATTATGAGAACAGATTATCCAACTTACGAGGTGATATAAAAAAGACCTGGAAAACCCTATCAGAAATTCTGGGAACAAAAAAGATATCGCGAAATAGCGAAATAAAATTAGCAAAATCAGATGAACCCCAACTCCCACCAACAGAAACAGCAAACAGACTCAATGACTTCTTCTCCACTATAGGACAAAACCTTGCCAATAAAATCCCAAGCTCAGATACCCCACCAAATGACTACCTCACCAGCAACTACCCGAACACACTCTTCCTAGCTCCGACTAACCCATACGAAGTCTCCCTTATTATCAACGCACTAAAAAACAAGGCAGGAGATTTAAATACCTTACCACCCTTTATATACAAAAAAGTGTCACAAATGCTATCACCAATCATTGCAACACTCTTTAACAAATCCATAGAATCCTCCACCTTCCCTACAGTACTCAAAATAGCAAGGGTCACCCCGATCCACAAAGGAGGAGACCAAACAGAGTTGAATAACTATAGGCCAATATCCAACTTACACCCTCTCTCAAAAATCTTCGAAAAATTAATTCATAAACGAATCTACTCCTACCTTATCTCCCAAAACATACTCAACCCCTGCCAATTTGGATTCAGGCCTAATAAAAATACTAATGATGCTATTATACACATGCTAGAACATATATACACTGCAATAGAGAAAAAAGAAGTCCCACTGGGGATCTTCATTGACTTACGTAAAGCTTTTGATACAGTTGACCATGACTTGCTCCACGTAAAATTGTCACACTATGGTATAAGAGGGCACTCCCTCAACTACCTCAAGTCATACCTCAGCAACAGAAGTCAATATGTGTACGCAAATGGGGCAAAATCTTCTGCACAACCAATTACAGTTGGTGTCCCACAGGGAAGTGTCCTTGGCCCTCTTCTCTTTCTCCTATACATAAATGACCTACCAAATGCTTCGCAATTACTCAAACCCACACTATTTGCAGATGACACTACATACGTCTTCTCTCACCCGAGCCCAGTCACACTAGCCAATACTGTAAATACCGAATTACAGAAAATATCTACCTGGATGAGGACTAACAAACTTACATTAAACATTGACAAAACCTACTTCATTCAGTTTGGTAACAGAGCTACAGATGTCCCTCTTAACATAATGATAAACGGATCACCTATCACAAAGCTAACAGAGGGAAAATTCTTAGGAATCCACCTCGATAATAGACTCAAATTTCATACACATATACAACAAATTTCTAAGAAAATTTCCAAGACTGTAGGCATACTATCGAAGATACGGTACTATGCTCCACAGTCAGCCCTCCTGGCCCTATATCACTCTCTTATTTACCCCTATCTCACCTATGGAATTTGTGCATGGGGCTCAACAACAATTAACCATCTCAGACCACTAATTACCCAACAAAAGGCTGCAGTTAGAATGATAACAAATTCTCACTACAGGCAGCACACTCCACCAATATTCAATACACTAAACCTACTCACCATACAAAATATCCATACTTACTACTGCACCTATTACATACATAGAACACTTAACTCTGATATTAACCCTCCCCTCAAACATCTCCTTGCCAACCTCAATAGAACACATGACCATAACACAAGGCACAGATCACTCTTTGATGTTCCTCGTGTCCATCTCACACTATGCAAAAACTCAATGCACATAAAAGGCCCTAAAATCTGGAATTCATTACCTGTAAATATAAAAGAAACACTACCTGTTCATAAATTCAAGTCTCTTCTCAAAGTTCACTTACTCACCCAAAACCAAATAAATACTGAATAACTGAACCTTATAAATTGTATATCTTAAATGTTTCTCACAATTATATCACATAAATGTTAAACCTAAAACCCAATCTAACTTTATTATTTTTTAAATACACTACCTAACAGAATACTCCATTCTACTGAATGAACAGCAATGCATACAACCATATGACCTGTCTTTGTAATACTCACTTGTGCTTTATAGTAACCTGTTTACATTAATGTTTTTCACTGATTTCATCATTGCTTAGTTAATCTTAAGTTAATTTTAAGCCAGCCCGTAATGCTATGCATAGTATAAGTGGCTTTGGCATGCTGCTCTTATCTGTATTTTTTTGTACCTCTGTATGTATGCTCAAATTGTAAAATAAATAAATAAATAAATAAATAAATTGGGGTCCTCAATCTTGTCCCTCAGGATGTGACCCACACCAGTCAACTAACACCCAGGATGTGACCCACACCAGTCAACTAACACCCAGGATGTGACCCACACCAGTCAACTAACACCCAGGATGTGACCCACACCAGTCAACTAACACCCAGGCACCTACTTGCTAGGTGAACAGAACAACACATGTAAGGAAACGCATCGAACGTTCCCTCCCCACCGGGAATCGAACCCGGACCCTCACCGTGTGAAGTGAGATCTTTGTCACCAGGCCAGGAGGCTACCTAAGGAAATGTTAAACCTACTGATATTCTCAGTGTACTGTGACCCAGTCAGAGGGGATTCCCGATGGGCGGAATGTGAACTCAATTCAATTCAATTCAAGTTTATTCTCTATAATGGTTAAGATAAGATAAGATTTCGTTCGGATTTTTAACCCCGGAGGGTTAGCCACCCAGGATAACCCAAGAAAGTCAGTGCGTCATCGAGGACTGTCTAACCTATTTCCATTGGGGTCCTTAATCTTGTCCCCCAGGATGCGACCCACACCAGTCGACTAACACCCAGGTACCTATTTGCTGCTAGGTGAACAGGACAATAGGTGTAAGGAAACGTGTCGGAATTTCCACCCGCCGGGAATCGAACCCGGGCCCTCCGTGTGTGAAGCAGGAGCTTTAGCCACCAGGCCACCGGGGTTTACAGGTTTTGGGTATTTTATGGTTTACATGTTATAAAATACTAATTACAGAGGGGGCCACTAGGACACCTAGCATGGCTAGGCATTTCGAGCAAACTGAGATTAATTCTTAACATTAAGTCCTCAAGTGCGGAGAACACTGGTCTAATGTCACCATATCCTCAAAAGAAACTGTTATATAATGAGCAATTCGGGGATTTTGTATAGATTATATGCTTAAGACTGCACAATTGAGTTTACTAAATAATTGTCGAGTTTATACATTCCATCACATAAGTTATATAAGGCATTTTTATCGTGTTTGTGAGAGAGAATTCAATTATGTTCCTTTGAATAAAGCAACTATTGGGTACAATGGCCTGAGCTGCTGCCTACCCCGGCAGGTGCTGGTTGGCTGGCTGTGGCTGGGCTGGCTGGCTGACTAGCTAGCTAGCTGGCTGGCTAACTAACTGGTTGGCTAGCTAGCTGGCTGGCTAAGTAGGTGGTTGGCTAGCTAGCTGGCTGGCTAAGTAGGTGGTTGGCTAGCTAGCTGGCTGGCTAAGTAGGTGGTTGGATAGCTAGCTAGCTGTCTGGCTGGCTAACTAGCTGGTTGGCCAGCCAGAAAGCTAGCTGGCTGGCTAACTAGCTGATTGGCCAGCTAGTTAGCTGTCTGGCTGGCTAACTAGCTGATTGGGCAGCTAGTTAGCTGTCTGGCTGGCTAACTAGCTGATTGGCCAGCTAGTTAGCTGTCTGGCTGGCTAACTAGTTAGCTGTCTGGCTGGCTAACTAGTTAGCTATCTGGCTGGCTAACTAGTTAGCTGTCAATGGCCCTTTTAACCTAACAACAACAACAACATTCTCATCACAGTAAATACAGTCGTTTTTCACCAACATTTTCCAAGGTTTTTCACCTTTATTAACCTCTTAAGCTGTGTTATATGGTAAGTTTAACACCTATGCTATGTTATGTTACATATGTGATGTCTTATAACATATGTATATATCCTGAAATATAGCTATATAGCCACTAATATATAACTGCAGTTAGAGTGAGCCTTCCCGTCCCTCGGATCAAACCTGTTATCCTAGGATCAATGTTGTTATCCCAGTATCAAACTTATTATCGCAGGATCAAACTTATTATCCCAGGATCAAACTTATTATCCCAGGATCAAAGATGTTATCCCAGGATCAAAAATGTTATCCCAGGATCAAAGATGTTATCCCAGGATCAAAGATATTATCCCAGGATCAAAGATGTTATCCCAGGATCAAAGATGCTATCTCAGGATCAAAAATGTTATCCCAGGATCAAAGATGTTATCCCAGGATCAAAGATGTTATCTCAGGATCAAAGATGTTATCCCAGGATCAAAGATGTTATCTCAGGATCAAAATGTTACCCCCAGCATCAAAGATGTTATCCCAGGATCAAAGATGTTATCCCAGGATCAAAGATGTTATCCCAGGATCAAAGATATTATCCCAGGATCAAAAATGTTATCCCAGGATCAAAGATGTTATCCCAGGATCAAAGATGTTATCCCAGGATCAAAAACGTTATCCCAGCATCAAAGATGTTATCCCAGGATCAAAGATGTTATCCCAGGATCAAAAACGTTATCCCAGCATCAAAGATGTTATCCCAGGATCAAAGATGTTATCCCAGGATCAAAGATGTTATCCCAGGGTCAAAGATGTTATCCCAGGATCAAACTTGTTATCCCAGGAGCTGTGTGTGAACCTCACGGGTTTAGTGCTCCTAGGTAATGTGTAGTTGAAGTGGTGCCAGGAGCTGTGACTCGACCCCCAGCAAGGACAGCTAGACCAACACAGTATCCTGGGCTATTCTGAATTTTCTTTAATTATCCTGGATTTTCCTGAGTTATTCTGGGTTATCTTGGATTTTCTTAAGTTATCTCCAGGTATCCTGGGTTATCCTGGATATTCTTAAGTTATCCTGGATATTCTTAAGTTATCCTGGATTTTCTTAAGTTATCCTGGGTCATAAGAACATAAGGAAAAGGGAGCACTGCAGCAGGCCTACTGGCCCATGCTAATCAAGTCTAACTCACACCCACTCATGTATTTATCTAATCTGTTTTTAAAGCTACACAACGTTTTAGCCTCAATAACTGTACTCGGGAGTTTGTTCCACTCATCCACAACTCTATTACTAAACCAGTACTTTCCTATATCCTTCCTGAATCTGAATTTTTCCAACTTAAAACCATTGCTGCGAGTCCTGTCTTGGTTAGATATTTTTAGCACATTATTTACATTCCCTTTAATTATTTGTTTTCCAATTTTACACCTCAGTCATATCCCCCCTAATTCTACACCTTTCTAGAGAGTGCAGATTCAGGTCCTCAGTCTATCCTCATAGGGAAGATTTCTGATACATGGGATCAACTTTGTCATCCTCCCCTGTACGTTTTCCAGAGCATTTATATCCATTCTGTAATATGGTGACCAGAACTGAGCAGCATAGTCTAAATGAGGCCTAACCAAGGATATACAGAGTTGAAGAACAACCTGAGGACTCCTATTATTTATACTTCTTGATATGAAGCCAAGAATTCTATTCACTTTATTGCGAACACCTACTCATTGTTGTCTTGGTTTTAGATTACTGCTAACCAGAACTCCTAAATATTTTTTGCAGTCAGTGATATTAAGATCTACATTATTTAGTTTATAAGTGTTATGGTTATTTACCTTTCCTCATCAAAATGAATTTGATGGCCCGTTTTGGTGTCATCGGCAAACTTGCTCATGTCGTTATTTATTCCCTCACATGTTGTTTATGTAAATTGTGAACAACAAAGGACCCAACATTGACCCCTGTGGAACACTGCTTGTGATGTATCCCCACTCTGATTTCTCCCCACTTATGCAAACACTCTGTTGCCTATCTGTCAGCCATGCCTCTATCAAGGAAAAAAATTTCTCCTATTCCATGTGCTTCAACTTTTCTCATTAACCTCCACTGTGGAACTCTATCAAAAACCTTACTGAAATCTTGACTCATGAAATCGTAATGACACAATTGCTGGCCAGCAATCTCCAAATGTAGATTTACGATTTTTTTTACATAAGAAAGCATGTAAAATCATAGATCTACGCTCGGAGCGCTACGCGAGTGAGCATAGATCTATGTTTGGACAGTTTAAGGGTTAATTTCTTTATTTGTCTGAAAACCACATCACTAGTGACTGTGAAAGTTCGAACAGTGCAAATTTTGATTTAGTGCGGAATTAATTAATGCTAGATTTATTTCCAAAAATTCTTCAGATCACATGCAAAAATTACATGTACTGTAATTTGAAAAGTGCGACCACTCCACAGAATTTGTTTTTAGGACTGAGACCTGACTGTACCATTTTTAATTTTTTTATGAGGTACAAATAATGTCGTTTACATGTAATGAAATGTTGGTGGACAACAGAGGACAAAGGCCACCAATCATGGAACTGTCCATTAGTGTTCCAGTCATGACCCAACAGTATACACCTGCTATTACCGGCCACCCGCTTCCCCCTCAGTTAGTCTGCTATATGAAGGATTTACCGTATTGAACTTTTTAAAAAAAGTGACTATGGAATGTCCGACATATTACCTTCATGGTCGCCGCCAGGATGACAATTATCCAGAATAATTATTAAAAATCATTCAATTTTCCAGCTGTTGGTCCATCGCATCCGTCATGAGTTCTACCAAGAAAGATGAAAAACCAAAACCGGAGGATGCGAAGAAGGATAAGGATAAGGAGAAAGAGAAAGAGAAGGTAGATAAGGCAAAAGCAGAGAAGAAGAAAGTTCCGACTAAGGTACAGCTGGAGAAGTGGAGTTCTTCGATAAATTCTTTATTAGCCGTAAGTACAAGACTACTGGTAGCTACTATAGGTACAGTACCTATCCTAGTTACTACTACATCCTAGTTACTGCTACAGTATCCTAGTTACTGCTACAACATCCTAAGTCACTGCTACAACATCCTAGTTACTGCCACAGTATCCTAGTTACTGCTACAATATCCTAGTTGCTGCTACAGTATCCTAGTTAGTGCTACAACATCCTAGTTAGTGCTACAACATCCTAGTTACTGCTACAGTGTCCTAGTTACTGCTACAATATCCTAGTTACTGCTACAATATCTTAGTATCCTTGTCTCTGCTACTGTTAACAACAAGCTACTAAATATTGCTACAGTACCTGGATGACGACCAACTCACTCACTCTTAACATATTGATCAATGGTTAACCCATTACAAGACCCACTGAGGGCAATTTTTTTTGTCTTCACCTTGACTGTAATTTGAAATTTCAGACCCACATCCAACATGGCCAGGAAGGTCTCCAAAACAGTAGGCATCCTCTCCAGTATATGGTATTATGTACCCCAAATGGCACTACTTACATTATACCACTCTCTAATCTACCCTTACCTCACCTATGGTATTAGTGCCTGGGAATCTACTACAGCTAATCACCTTAAACCATTAATAACCCAACCAACAACTGCTGTGCAGATTATCACCCATTCCTGTGCCAGTCAGCACACCCCTCCATTCTTCAAGAGTTTGAACCTACTTAATATACAAAATACAGTAGGACTCCCGTATCCACGGGGGATGCATTCCAAGGACCTGCCGCAAATACCAAAACTGCAGATAGTAGCGCACCCTCTGTCTTTTTAGTTTACATACATAATTATTATAAAATTTAATTGATAAATTATGTACAATAAATGGAGAATTGTCACTTTTTCACGGTTTCTCTTTAGACTTTGAAGAACTCCACCATCACTACTTTTTGCCAGGTTACCACCTGGAGAAGACCTGGGCTGGGACAAGACTGGCAAACCTACTACAATACATCACTACTTTTGCACTTTGAGACCATTATTAAGCAAAATTAAAGGTTATTTTCAAGCCATGGATAACTGAAACTGCAGATACATACTGGGACTGTGGATATGTGGGGTCCTACTGTATAGTCTCTCCTCACTTAACGATGTACTCGTTTAATGGCTGCTTGGACTTACGACCAGCTCTTTGACCAATATGCATACCTAAGTAATGTACAGTATATTAGAGCTGATTTCCTCTATTCTGTTTATTGCACTATACAGTACACTACTGTATAAACACTTAAAAATACAGTGGACCCCCACCTTACGATATTATTTCATTCCAGAAGTCTGTTCCAGTGCCGTTACCGACCGGATTTGTTCCCATAAGGAATATTGTGAATTAGATTAGTCCGTTTCAGACCCCCAAAAATACACGTACAAAAGCACTTACAAAAATACACTTACATAATTGTTCGAGTTGGGAGCTGATCATAAGGCGGGGGTCCACTGTGTACTATAAATATTATAAATGCTGCAAAGGTGACATTAAAACCAATATCTAATGATTGTAGTAGTAGTAGTAGTGGAGTCAGTCAAATACTAAGAAAGAGGAGCACTGCAAGGGAGCTAGGGGCCCACAAGGGAGCTAGGGACCCACAAGGGAGCTAGGGGACCCACAGAGGGTAGGAGCAAGTACACAGAGGGGGGGGGAATAATGAAAGAACAAATACCCAAGGCAGAAGAAAGAAAACCCAAAGGAAAAAGAGGAAAGGGGAAGAGGGAGAAGGGTAAAAAAAAGAATCAGGTTAAGTCACAGGTGTTCTGAAGTTTGGAGCATTTTACAATGTAATGGGAAAGGAAGACATCTACAGAGACAATGCCACGACTAAGATTCATACAAGGAAAGTTGTGAATAAGGGTGTATAAATGGTCCAAATCGGACCGAAACTTTGTTGTAAGCTCCTCTCTTCTATGTGCGGGTTATTTGTGTATCACTACCAGTATAGTATGCTCCTTGCTTAATAATAATAATAAATAATAAAATAAAATAATAAAATTTTATTTCTTTGCTAAGGTTACATTTCATAATTTGAATGGTACAAAGACAACCACTGTCATGCCGGGGCATTTCGGGCAGACGTAACCTAATACACCTACCATCCGACTTGCGACCTGCTCGACTTACGACCTGCTCGACTTACGACCTGCTCGACTTACGACCTGCTCGACTTACGACCTGCTCGACTTATGACCTGCTCGACTTACGACCACTCGACTTACGACTGTGTTTTTTATGCTAAATTTCTGGGAAATAAACAACTATTTGTGTTGTACACAGTGTTTATCCTAAACCTTACAGTATAAACACAGTACTAACAACATAAAAAGTAAAGTAAAACATGAAATACCAAAATAAAACAATAAAATAAAGCCATTACAAAAATGTTTTGTTAATATTCAGTAGTAAAGTTCGACTTACGACCATTTCGACTTACGACCGGTTTCTCGGAACCGAACTCGGTCGTAAGTCGGATGGTAGGCGTATTCAATATTTTACTCTATTAACGACCAATTCACTTACCGACCTGCTCTTAGGAATGGAACCTCGTCATTAAGTGAGGAGGGGATGTACTCACATTCTTGTAGACAATAATTGGATAAATCGTCCTCTGTCTTTATCCCATATATGAGAGATTTTTATGCCTTATTAACCATACATGTCAAGATATAATTAACAGTTTGAAACATTCTAGGATCCAGAAGGTGTTGCAGTGTTCCGGGAATTTCTAGTAGAGTTAGAAGCAGATGGAGAGGAAGGTGAACACACAAAGTACATTGATTTCTACATGGAGTGTGAGGAGTATAAAGCAAGATTTAAAGCACTCGAAGATAAAGCCAAAGAAATCTTCGATGAATATCTCGCGGTGAGTATTAGCCTGTTTATTTTTGCTAACATATTAAGGGAAGGTGACCTGTAAAAGAAGAAACATTATCACCATCATTCATCCAATCACTGTCTTGTGTGAAGCATCCCTGAGAAATTGATAGACTATTCTATCATTCTTTGTTATACTGCTACTTTTTTTTTTGTAGTATACTTCAAATTATAGATATTAATACAGTATATATATTGAAAGTTTTTCTTTTTCGGGCCACCCTGCCTTGGTGGGAATCGGCCGGTGTGATAATAAAAATAATAAATAATACAGTATATATAATTCACGTTATTGCTGTTTGCTTTTGTGATTTGCAGAGCTGTTGGAGTGTGAGCAAGGTAGAGTTTATGAAGGGAGTCAGGGAAACCAGTTAGCTGGACTTTGAGTCCTGGAGGTGGGAAGTACAGTGCCTGTACTCTGAAGGATGAGTCTGGATGTTATAGTTCTGGAGGTGGGAAGTAGTGTCTGTATTCTGAAGGATGAGTGAGGATGTTATAGTTCTGGAGGTAGAAAGTACAGTGCCTGTACTCTGAAGGATTGGTAAGGATGTCACAGTTCAGAGTCATCTGAACAGTGAATCAGCATACTTACAGCAAGACAGTAACTGAGCGAATAATGGTAAATGCGTTTCTTCTTTTTTAGTATGTTTAAGTAATTTAAATGATGATTATATATATATTTTTTTTTGTTTGTTTTTTTCAACAAGTCGGTCGTCTCCCACCGAGGCAGGGTGACCCAAAAAAGAAAGAAAATCCCCAAAAAGAAAATACTTTCATCATCATTCAACACTTTCACCACACTCACACATTATCACTGCTTTTGCAGAGGTGCCCAGAATACAACAGTTTAGAAGCATATACATATAAAGATACACAACATATCCCTCCAAACTGCCAATATCCCAAACCACTCCTTTAAAGTGCAGGCATTGTACTTCCCATTTCCAGGACTCAAGTCCGACTATATGAAAATAACTGGTTTCCCTGAATCCCCTCACTAAATATTACCCTACTCACACTCCAACAGATCGTCAGGTCCCAAGTATCATTCGTCTCCATTCACTCCTATCTAACACGCTCATGCACGCTTGCTGGAAGTCCAAGCCCCTCGCCCACAAAACCTCCTTTACCCCCTCCCTCCAACCCTTTCGAGGACGACCCCTACCCCTCTTTCCTTCCCCTACAGATTTATATGCTTTCCATGTCATTCTACTTTGATCCATTCTCTCTAAATGACCAAACCACCTCAACAACCCCTCTTCTGCCCTCTGACTAATGCTTTTATTAACTCCACACCTTCTCCTAATTTCCACACTCCGAATTTTCTGCATAATATTTACACCACACATTGCCCTTAGACAGGACATCTCCACTGCCTCCAACTGTCTCCTCACTGCTGCATTTACCACCCAAGCTTCACATCCATATAAGAGTGTTGGTACTACTATACTTTCATACATTCCCTTCTTTGCCTCCATAGATAACGTTTTTTGACTCCACATATACCTCAACGCACCACTCACCTTTTTTCCCTCATCAATTCTATGATTAACCTCATCCTTCATAAATCCATCCGCCGACACGTCAACTCCCAAGTATCTGAAAACATTCACTTCTTCCATACTCCTCCTCCCCAATTTGATATCCAATTTTTCTTTATCTATATTATAGGTAGTAGGTTGGTAGACAGCAACCACCCAGGGAAGTACTACCGTCCTGCCAGATGATTGTGAAACAGAAACCTGTAACTGTTTTGCATGATGGTAGGATTGCTGGTTTCTTTTTCTGTCTCATAAACACGCTAGATAACAGGGATATCTTGCTACTCCTACTTACACTTTGGTCACACTTCACAGACACGCACATGCATATATATATACATACATCTAGGTTTTTCCCCTTTTTCTAAATAGCTCTTGTTCTTTATTTCTTCTATTGTCCATGGGGAAGTGGAAAAGAATCTTTCCTCCGTAAGCCATGCGTGTCGTATGAGGCGACTAAAATGCCAGGAGCAATGGGCTAGTAACCCCTTCTCCTGTAGATATTTACTAAAAAAGAGAAGAAGAAAAACTTTATAAAACTGGGATGCTTGAATGTGCGTGGATGTAGTGCGGATGACAAGAAACAGATGATTGCTGATGTTATGAATGAAAAGAAGTTGGATGTCCTGGCCCTAAGCGAAACAAAGCTGAAGGGTGTAGGGGAGTTTCGGTGGGGGAAATAAATGGGATTAAATCTGGAGTATCTGAAGAGTTTGAGCAAAGGAAGGGGTAGCAGTAATGTTGAAGGATCAGTTATGGAAGGAGAAAAGAGAATATGAATGTGTAAATTCAAGAATTATGTGGATTAAAGTAAAGGTTGGATGTGAAAAGTGGGTCATAATAAGCGTGTATGCATCTGGAGAAGAGAGGAATGTAGAGGAGAGAGAGAGAGATTTTGGGAGATGTTAAGTGAATGTATAGGAGCCTTTGAACCAAGTGAGAGAGTAATTGTGGTAGGGGATCTGAATGCTAAAGTAGGAGAAACTTTTAGAGAGGGTGTGGTAGGTAAGTTTGGGGTGCCAGGTGTAAATGATAATGGGAGCCCTTTGGTTGAACTTTGTATAGAAAGGGGTTTAGTTATAGGTAATACATATTTTAAGAAAAAGAGGATAAATAAGTATACAAGATATGATGTAGGGCGAAATGACAGTAGTTTGTTGGATTATGTATTGGTAGATAAAAGACTGTTGAGTAGACTTCAGGATGTACATGTTTATAGAGGGGCCACAGATATATCAGATCACTTTCTAGTTGTAGCTACGCTGAGAGTAAAAGGTAGATGGGGTACAAGGAGAATAGAAGCATCAGGGAAGAGAGAGGTGAAGGTTTACAAACTAAAAGAGGAGGCAGTTAGGGTAAGATATAAACAGCTATTGGAGGATAGATGGGCTAATGAGAGCATAGGCAATGGGGTCGAAGAGGTATGGGGTAGGTTTAAAAATGTAGTGTTAGAGTGTTCAGCAGAAGTTTGTGGTTACAGGAAAGTGGGTGCAGGAGGGAAGAGGAGCTGTTGGTGGAATGATGATGTAAAGAGAGCAGTAAGGGAGAAAAAGTTAGCATATGAGAAGTTTTTTACAAAGTAGAAGTGATGCAAGAGGGAAGAGTATATGGAGAAAAAGAGAGAAGTTAAGAGAGTGGTGAAGCAATGTAAAAAGAGAGCAAATGAGAGAGTGGGTGAGATGTTATCAACAAATTTTGTTGAAAATAAGAAAAAGTTTTGGAGTGAGATTAACAAGTTAAGGAAGCCTAGAGAACAAATGGATTTGTCAGTTAAAAATAGAAGAGGAGAGTTATTAAATGGAGAGTTAGAGGTATTGGGAAGATGGAGGGAATATTTTGAGGAATTGTTAAATGTTGATGAAGATAGGGAAGCTGTGATTTCGTGTATAGGGCAAGGAGGAATAACATCTTGTAGGAGTGAGGAAGAGCCAGTTGTGAGTGTGGGGGAAGTTCATGAGGCAGTAGGTAAAATGAAAGGGGGTAAGGCAGCCGGGATTGATGGGATAAAGATAGAAATGTTAAAAGCAGGTGGGGATATAGTTTTGGAGTGGTTGGTGCAATTATTTAATAAATGTATGGAAGAGGGTAAGGTACCTAGAGATTGGCAGAGAGCATGCATAGTTCCTTTGTATAAAGGCAAAGGGGACAAAAGAGAGTGCAAAAATTATAGGGGGATAAGTCTGTTATTTTCATATAGTCGGACTTGAGTCCTGGAAATGGGAAGTACAATGCCTGCACTTTAAAGGAGGGGTTTGGGATATTGGCAGTTTGGAGGGATATGTTGTGTATCTTTATATGTGTATGCTTCTAAACTGTTGTATTCTGAGCACCTCTGCAAAAACAGTGATAATGTGCGAGTGTGGTGAAAGTGTTGAATGATGATGAAAGTATTTTCTTTTTGGGGATTTTCTTTCTTTTTTTTGGGTCACCCTGCCTCGGTGGGAGACGGCCGACTTGTTAAAAAAAAAAAAAAAAAAAAAAGTCTGTTGAGTATACCTGGTAAAGTGTATGGTAGAGTTATTATTGAAAGAATTAAGAGTAAGACGGAGAATAGGATAGCAGATGAACAAGGAGGCTTTAGGAAAGGTAGGGGGTGTGTGGACCAGGTGTTTACAGTGAAACATATAAGTGAACAGTATTTAGATAAGGCTAAAGAGGTCTTTGTGGCATTTATGGATTTGGAAAAGGCGTATGACAGGGTGGATAGGGGGGCAATGTGGCAGATGTTGCAGGTGTATGGTGTAGGAGGTAGGTTACTGAAAGCAGTGAAGAGTTTTTACGAGGATAGTGAGGCTCAAGTTAGAGTATGTAGGAAAGAGGGAAATTATTTCACAGTAAAAGTAGGCCTTAGACAAGGATGTGTGATGTCACCATGGTTGTTTAATATATTTATAGATGGGGTTGTAAGAGAAGTAAATGCGAGGGTCTTGGCAAAAGGCGTGGAGTTAAAAGATAAAGAATCACACATAAAGTGGGAGTTTGTCACAGTTGCTCTTTGCTGATGACACTGTGCTCTTGGGAGATTCTGAAGAGAAGTTGCAGAGATTGGTGGATGAATTTGGTAGGGTGTGCAAAAGAAGAAAATTAAAAGTGAATACAGGAAAGAGTAAGGTTATGAGGATAACAAAAAGATTAGGTGATGAAAGATTGGATATCAGATTGGAGGGAGAGAGTATGGAGGAGGTGAATGTATTCAGATATTTGGGAGTGGACATGTCAGCGGATGGGTCTATGAAAGATGAGGTGAATCATAGAATTGATGAGGGGAAAAGGGTGAGTGGTGCACTTAGGAGTCTGTGGAGACAAAGAACTTTGTCCTTGGAGGCAAAAGAGGGAATGTATGAGAGTATAGTTTTACCAACGCTCTCATATGGGTGTGAAGCATGGGTGATGAATGTTGCAGCGAGGAGAAGGCTGGAGGCAGTGAAGATGTCATGTCTGAGGGCAA